GTCTCTCTCTCTCTCTCTCTCTCTCTCTCTCTCTCTCTCTCTCTCTCTCTCGAGTACATCACCTGCAAAGAACTGAAATTTGTCATTATGAGCTTGATGTGCGTCTCTTTTTGTGTTTTTATGTTTCCCTTTTGAGCTTGGATTTGAATAATTTGATTTTTCATTGCAAGATTATACATGAGTTGCATAGGCTACAATGATTTTGTATTTGAATTTTGTTAGTTTTGGCCAAAACTTGCAATGGGTAGAGGTTAGAATGAACAACGGGCCATCATACTCTGTTATAAGCTCAAAACCCATTAAAACTCAATTATTAAATCATTTGTTTTGTTGATTCATCCACGTTTTCTCAAAATTCAAATAAAACTTTGAAAAATTACATGTCCCCAAAATTGAAAACAATAAAATAGAAAGGCGGCCATTATTTTGATGGTAGATTGGCCAAAATCAGCCCAAATATGGGTCTATTTTTTTTCCCTTCGAAATTTCAGTTTATCACACGATTTACCTGTATTTTGGAGCACTTTTATTTCATGGGTGGGCCAAATTTTGGTTTGGGCCCATCATCAAAGCTGAAATCTGGAAGTTCCAGACTGGAAATTTACTCCTCAAGTTTTCAGCATTTGGGTGGGACTCTTGTGAGAGAAGGGACCTTCCCCCACACCTGAAGGTTGTGTCTGTACTATATATTTGTGTTAATTATGGGTCTAATTATATTTTCATGAAAACACATCTGCATATTCGGCCTAAAGAGCAAAGAGTTTATGGTAGGTGGTATGGTAGATATAACTGATTGTTTTTTAGAGATCTGTAAATTAAAGTGATGGGAACCATTTTCCTTTCTTACTTGTCCTCAAAACAATTATAAAAAAAAAACAAAAGAGGGAGAAAAAAAAAGAAACTCAAATTGGACATGGGTTCCTTATTCAGTGTTTGATTATTTCTAAATTCACCAAAAACTGAGGCCGTTGGCCATGTCTATACCTATATGAGCTTACCATCTTATATTTACAAAAATGAGGAAGAGCTGAAACCCTTCCATGTTCGCCATGGAAGTCACTATATGTTCTGTTTTATCTTCCTTGGTGGGAAAGCTACGGGTGAATTAAAGTAACAAACTTAATTACAACACATAGCAGCCTATGAGCCCCCTCTTTGATACTTAATTATCAAAATCAACAATTACTCCATTTTATGTTCTATAAATATAAAAGGATTGTAAAATTATATAAATTTTCAAAATTAAAGAAAACTCCATTTTATGTTAACGTAAAGGATTGAAAATCGTGTATCCCAAATTTGTATACCGATAATACAGAAACTGTGTATTTAGTGACTGCAGGTGCTGAAGCTAGGGTTTTCTGATGTGCATGCTGCTAGTGATCATATATCTCTATGTCCATCTATTATAAATGTGCTTAGAAACATACACACGTATGTATCTGTGCATGTGTGTAAGTTTGTAGGCTGAAGCTAGAATCTTCCCTTTTGGCATGCTAATAATGTAAATTTCATATGTCTATTTTTATGTATTTAGCGACCATTTGTACTGAAGCTTGGGTTTTCTCATGGGCATGCTGTTAATGACCATATATCTCTATGTCTATCTATGCATAAATGTTCTTATAGAGACATCTACGCATGTATGTATCCACACATGTATGTATATTTGTTTGCTGAAGCTAGAATCTTCCCTTTGGCATGCTAATAATGTCAATGGCTTATGTCTATTTTTATGCATATATTTATTATGTATGTTTCTCCACTGATTATGGATGTCGAACCTAAGATTTTCTGAGGATTATGGTAGTAATGATGATCCCCAAGTCTATGTGAACGTTTTTTTACATGTGTAGCACAGCTCTTCATAACCCATTTAGTTCTTTCATTAATCTGACTAACAGATTACTTGCAGCTAATGTGAGCTCGCACGCACGTGTGTGTGTGTGTGAGAGAGAGAGAGAGAGAGAGAAAGAGAGAGAGAGAGAGGAGGGAGGAGAGAGAGTAGTTCGTAGATAGTCGCGACCGCCGACGTACGGTTGGTCGTACTTAACGTTGTTACTTTACGTAGTTACGAAGTAGTAGTAGTCGTACTACTTACTTTTCCGTTTTAG